AGAGGTCCCTCGGAAACTAACGTTGATTCCAATTGTCCAAAATTTCAACACCCGTGCCGAAACAAGGAAGATCCAAACTGACGACGCCCCAAAAAACGCTTAAAAGCCACTTGCGGCCTGGAACCAAACGGAACCCCCAAACTCGAGAATTCCAGTCGTTTTTTTCCATCAAAAACTGGTCCGTGGCTTTGTCAAATCGCAGCCGGACGTTTTTACCGTGTGTATGTTCGTTCGATATATTTTGACGCTTGCTTAGATATTCGGAGGAAGGCTGAAGCAGACTTACAAAACGCTTAAAAACTTGCTACTGGTGGCTCCAGAGCACCCCATGTTGAAATGCTTGAGCGCCATGCGCGGGACTGCCGAGGACGACAGCGAAGAAGGCTTTGAAGCTTTTTGAAGCCAGAAAGTAGAGAGAGGGAGAGGAGGAGGCGCAGAAAGGGATCTTCGAAAGGTGAGAACGGAAAGCTTCGAAGAGTGAGGAGGTCGAAGAGTTCGAAGAGGAGGATGAAGGCAAGGCTTCGAAGGTGAGGAAGACTTCCAAGGGTGCGAACAGCGTGTTTAGTTTTGATCCTGTCCAATCATCTTGAATTTCGTTCACTTTCAAAACCTAACTTCGAAGCATCAAACTGAACAACGGTCTGGAACGCAACTGAACCCTTGTTTTGAAGAACAGTTTGGCATGTGTTGATTTTTTTGGCTCCAAACAAATTGTTCGGAACTATTCATGCTTATGGGATTGGATGGTGGGTCCGACAGATGGATTTGCTGGATAATACAACAGATTTTTGAAAAACCCATAGTCCGTTTCAAAACTACATCGTGCCTTTTTTTGCTTGTGGTTCGTTTCAGTCCACAATAAGGAATTAGAAAGCGACTTCGGAACCTTGTGTTTTTCCGGCATACAAGACTTGTTTTTTCTCGGTTTCCGATTTTGGGTTGCGTGTCTCTGCTGCATAGTTGTGGTATGGGAATCAAAGTTTGACGCAGTCAGTGTCAACAAGAAGACCAGGATTCATCCGGGTTTGACAGAAGCGAAAGCAACTTTGCGGATGATCAAAACAGCTACAGAGCGCACATTGTTTTGGCTTAACGGTACTTCCAAGAAATACTAATTTGCAAATCGATGCCAATGCTCTTGGCACTCCAAGGCAGCACAAGACCTGCGGCGCAGCTTTGATCAATGTTGTTTGAAACCCGTGTGCAACCCTCTGCCTGGTTGATCATGCGCGGCCCGCGCGGCTTGTCTGCAATAATCATCATTTGCATTTTGTGCTCTTTCGAGGTTTAAATATTCCCAACTCTTACACCAGCTAATGCTTGTGGTTTAGCAGCTGTGATTGAGTTTTGCAATTGCTGAGCAGCCAAGTCAGCTAGAAGACTAGCAGAAGTGCAGAACTGCTTGATTACCGTCGAGCCGTCGGAAACCGTAACTTTCTATTGCAATTTTGCAAACACAATCAGACCTACGCAAAGAAGTCCCGTGAAAAATGTCCAGCAGGAATGGAAGTTGAAAAGATTCCGGACGTCTGCTGAGGAGATTTTTGTACCGCAGCCGGACAACTAGCAAACGTTCTGTTTTAGGGGCACTTTTGCATGAACTTACAAAAACGATATCGAGCCATTTTCGACATGCAGGAGAGTCTTAACCTTCGTTTTTTTGTAAGCGCTTGGGAGGGTTGCGGAAATTGCACGTACTTTTGATGCCAGTTGTCGACATGGCTTGGAAGACGGGTCGTGCAGTGTTGATTGTTGTTTCGTTGTTAGCCATCCGATCATTTCGGTAATGGACGAAGCTATGAGGTCAGAGAGAACTTTCAGTTGTTCCGGCGCACAGATACGCTCCATATCATCAGCTGCTTAACTTCACATGAATTCTTGTTCATGGTGCAAAGCTGCCGCCTCGGACGCCCTCCAGGCACTGCACCAGACATTGGCTGTGTCTTTGATCAAGCCCTGTGCCTGTTGGGGAGCGACGACTCTCGAAGAGTGCAGGATCCAGACTGCCCGCCGTGGCTTTGGGCAGGGTTCTCAGACCCTCTGGTGTGCAATTTTTGCGTGCAGCGGACTGTGATTATGTCAAAGGATGATGAAGCATGACATCTGAATTCTTGTCTTCATGAGGATACCACTCAGACCAATTGCAAAATCGGGCAGAGCGTGGTGTGTCATGGGGCTTCATTCGTGTTCCTTTTCAGGCCTAAGTCTGTACAAAATCGATGACAAGGCGCGGCAACACGAGTGTTGTTTGTTCATCGAGGCCGCTGTTTGTGGCATGAGATTGTGCCTGGAGGTGCGAAGTGATGATTCCACCCAAAGCGTGGCACAGGAATTGCTCGGAAGACCATGTGCAGCTGGGTCTTTGAATCAGCCGTGACAATGCTTCGCAGTGCTGCGCGAGGACGAGGAGGCTTTGTGGCAGGTGAGCCCCTGGTGCTGGTTCTCATCATCTAGCGACAACTGATCACCGCGTTGTCAGGCCCAGACGACAACATGTTGGACCGCAGGCACAATTCTTCATCCTTTACAGCAGAAGTGACAATGCTTCCCGCCGTGAGGTGACAGTCGGTTTAGTGATGGTGCAACAAGGCAAATGTCAGAGCATCAAGGCTCGTGCATCTTCTCTTGCTCTTGCCCAGAGGCCTGCAAGCAGAGCAAGCCAGGAGCCAAGCAACATAACTATGGCAGCCATGGGTTTTGGTCTGCTTCTTGCAGGTGCTGTCCCTGAGATTGCCAAGGAAGGTTCGGACTTTTGCTCAGTACGAACTTCTGAGAAGCATCTCAAGCGCAGGTCCTAGCGTCCGAGTTTCATTGAGGTGCCTCGGCTTCTATGTTTCATACTGAAACAGTACTGGACGTTGGGTGTGGGGGTGCCCACAAGTTCACACCGAGCAACAGCTAAGGAAGCAAAAGCGACAGCCAAAGCCTTGGCAGTGAGGATGGGCGCGTTTGTTCTCGCCAGCTTGAATGAAGAGTCGCTTCCATGGAAGCCGAGGTCCCTGAAGCCACGCCACGACTTTCGAGCACGTCAGCTGCCAGAAGCTCCCAGGCCCCGAGTCCCTCCTTTAGGCCAACTTTGGGTGCTTTTTGAGACATAGCGAGCCCGGCCTAGGCTGGAAGGCGACGTCTCGCTGCTTCAGACTGCCCTTTCCCAGCCACCTCAGCCGCTTCAGCCGGCCCAGCAGCCTCAGCGAGGCCAGGTCACGACCCGGTCGCAGAAGCTGTCCGTGTGTGGGTGTGCGCTGTCTTGAGGCAGCCCAGATGAAGGTGCTCCGGCATGTTCTCGAGGCTACCGTAAGAGCAGCTTTGAGCCCTGAAAGGTCAGAAGTCACAAGGACCTGAACCCGATCCGAAGGAGAAAGTTGGCCTCTTCCCGAGCCAGTCGCTGTTGAGGGACTTCGGTTTTCAGTGCTTTCGCTGGCAAGGTAACAAGTACCGCACGAGGTTCTCGACGAGGCAGGAAAGAAATTGTGGTGAACTTCTGGAAGCCGCACTATATGGGTTCCCACATCACGAAGGCCAGTGCAATACAGGCTCAGCAATGCAGACACAGAGCGGCTCACAGGGTAGATGGAAACGCTCAGCAAAATCGTAAGTCTTCAACTCTGAGTCTTTTCTCTGCCTCGTCGCAAGGAGGCGGTCCTCGACGTCCGGAGGCAAAGCCCGTGCGGAGCCCCGGGGCAACCTCACCAAGTCGGCCTCACCAGAGCAGAACCAGAGCTGTGTGCTGGCAGTCGCAGCGCGGACTACGCCGGTCGGAGGCAACTAAACAACCTCTCGTTCACTGCAGTCTGAGAATCCTTGCGGTGCGGAGGCTGGTACAGCCCCATACCGGTTGTTACGCGACGCGTGAGTGCGGGACCCTTACCGGAAGTGCTCTCTGAGTTCGATGTCCATATCCCAAGTAAGTTACCAGGACCTAGTCCCCAGACACTTCAGATATGCACGCTGTGCACTGGACACGTGTCCATGCTGTACACCCTTGTTGTTGTCCCAGCTGTGCATCAGTTGAGCCCGGTACCGGGACAACGGTGTCAGGCACACCTGTGGTCAGTATGAAGACGCTAATCTTTCACCATTGCTTTGCCTAGCTCTGACATTTCGCAAGGAGTTCTGTCCGGAAACCATGCGAAGCTCGTGTAGATGCTTAAGTCAACCCCGAGACGAGACGTGTATGACACGAATGATGAGGAATGCTAGGAAATCGTGAGAGTCCCGCAGCCTTGGCTGAAGGTGCTGTATGAGGCAGCGTCGAAGGCACGACCGGCACTGGTTTGGCAGAGCCACCGACACCGAGCGGGGTAAAGTGTACTTTGAAGGCGGACGCAGAGAACGCTGCCAAGGCAGGGTGCGGCGGTGCAGTACACGAAGAGATTCTATCGACCTGTGGTCAGGGCCTGTCCGCTGATGCAAACTCTGCACGGAAGGCTCTCCATTAGCCAGATGAAGCTCTTGGTCCAAGAACATTCTTGGTAGTCTGACTTGTGCCTGCAGACATGGACTTGTGCAGGAGCCACATGCTGGCCATGTGCATGGCCATGCGCATGGCCACGCGCACGGCCACGTGCACGGCCACGCGCACGGCCACGCTGGCCAGCGTCATCCGGGGCAGCAGGCCAGGCGCCATGGCACTGCGCGATCCAGTTCCGCCTCCGCGAAGACGCCCAGGGTAGCAAGGGCCCGGCCAACGAATTGCAGACACTGGGCCATGCACCCGAATTGCATCTGAGTAGGAAGCTTCTCGCAGCATCTCTGTCTGTCTCTCGCTCTCCCCCTTCTCCAGAGGCCTTACGATGCACGTCAAAGAGGCGAAGCCCTGACTGGGCTTCGGTTTTCTGCTGTCTTGCCTGTTTTTGGATGCAGATCCCGGCTCATCAGGCTCCCCAGTATGAAGACGAGAAGCCTCCAGATCGGGTGTCCGGCCTTGCGAAACAGTTGAGGCGCGCGAAAGCCTACGAACGCACTAGGAAGACCTCTGCGAATGGGATGTGGCAGTGGGCTTCTTTGTTGCTTTTCCCCGCTTTCTGTGTGGCCTGGCAAGGATCCCGCTTGACATCCTGTCGCCTGCCACGATTTATCACGGGGCAAGCCCGTTTGTCTGGTGTATACGCCCAGAAGAAGACTCATCTCACAGCTCTTCTTTGCATCTGGTATCAGGAAACAAGCATACGAGGTCTTCGACGACATCTGCATGACGTCCTGTCCTCGATTTGCAGAGGGTCGGCGGCAGTCTCATTGTGCGTGTTGAACATACATTGTCTTGATGAATCGGTTCGCCAAGCGCAGACGCAGAAGACTATGATCCAATTTAGGAAGGGTCTCGTACGCCTCCTTCGTGAATGTTCAAGGCCCGATCATCCGATGTCACAGAAAGGCAAGAGGCGCGCTTTTACAGTTGGATGCTGCTTCACTCCTGAGAAGCTGTAAGGTGTGAGTGCATCTCTGCAATATCCATGGAAGCATCCGGTCGGAGTCACGTCCTCGATGAGGACCAACAAACGAGGAGAGGTAGTTGAGGAGGACTTTGATGTCTTTCAGGACCCCGGCCGTGCATGCAGCCCGCTGTAAGTGTAGTGTGCGAAGGCACTCATTGAAAGAAAGTCCGTGGTTCTTTTGTGGTTCCACGCGCTATAAGACAATTGCTGGGTGTCGCGATGAGCTTGTCTGGCCAAGCATTGAAGAGGACGGAGAGCTGAATATTGATGGCTTCGCCAGAGTGCTTTGCAAGTTGATAGGCCGGTTAAAGCTTGTCTGGGGCTTACTGCTTGCCGATGCTTTTGGTGATTAGCACGTGAGGCTGTAACAGCACATCCGAGCTTCCAGACGGGTCGGGCCCTCGGCGGCAGCATAAGCATGATCCAGCAGGGTTTGTCCGTCTGAGATTCCCGGCATACTTGTCTTTCCTTTTCGCGTGATGAGGTTGGTGCAGAGGAATTTCCGAGATGCTGCGCACAGCTCAACGTCTGTTTGCATCCTGATCTTGCTATCGGCACGCAGCGTCTCCAGAAAGCACCGCACAAGGATGGCAACAGCACGAAATCAGTCAGCTTCCTGGAGTTCGCCTTCTGGTATTCCAGGCCATCCTGCTGTCACAAAGGATGTCTTCAAGGAGTCCGCACATGGCCAGGCATGGGTTCATGGAGAACATGCTCCTGACCACGGCACAGCTCGAAGTTCGCGAGCTGGTGAGCCAACGAATGGCCGGTCCAAAGCACAGTGTCAGAATCATGAAGCATGTTCCTGCAGGCCAGAAAGTACAACATGCCTGTCATCGAGGAGCTTGGGCGCGGGAAGCTTCCAGCTCGCCATCAGCTTGTTTTGCACTGCGCAGGTTGAGCAATACAAGAAGAAGTTCGACTTCTTCGACGAGGAGCCAACAGTGAGAACATTGCTCTAAGGGTCTGTTAGGGGAGGATTGGGGCCTGACGGCCGACTTGCCCAAGCGTGGGAGACTTGCTATTGCTACATTCTAGTGGAGTGAGTCGGTGTCATTCAGTCTAGCATGTTCCTTCAGTGCTTGCTGCCTCCTCAATCTGCAGAGCTTCCAGTGTGTGAAGCTTGTGGTCAGAGCAGCTCTGCGGCATCACGTCTGCCAGTCTCTTCTTCTCCGGAATCTTCGGATCGATAGGGGAGAAACTCTGCAAGGGATCGTGAGATACTCCTTACCATGCGACTACTGCTATCATGTGAAGGCTACTTCCACGACTGCTGCCACTACAAAAACAATGGCATACCAAGTTAGCAATATCGAGATATCGTGAAAGTTTATCCTTGTTAACCACAGGTGTGCGAAACAGGTCCACCCATGATATTTGCTTGCAGGGGACAAGTCATGGCTTTCCCGCCGCTGCGGTCCAGGGTCTACTCAGGATGCTCTCCCCCCAAGTTTGCAAACTTGCGAGTTGGAGTCCAGCAGTATGGGTCTCCGGGGCAACAGCCGTGGTTTCGCATGCATAAAGTCATGCCTGCGACGCCAGAGCAACTACGGCGACCGTAACTGGAACTCCGTCTATCCCAGCAGCATCTTACAGTGTCCCACATCGAGATCCGAACCAGATTCTATAACCTCAGAATGCAGGACAGGAGCGGCTATATCGAGTATTCGGAGTTCGAGAACCTGTTGAATCAGCTCGTCAAGGTGTCCAGTCGCATTCTTGCTAATTTGAGGCAAGGGTCGTTTGTCCAGGTGCCTGCGAGTTGCGAGTTCCCTCCTGGTCGGGTCAAGCAGCTGATGCCTGAGTTGAGAGGACAGTCCTACTACCACAATCTGGTGACGAGTGGTCTAGAACTGTTGCCGCTGTTGAAGCTCAGTGATAGTGGTAGTGGTAGTGGTAGAGAGGAGGAGTAGGAGTAGTAGTAGTA